ATGACGTGTCCCAACGTATCCCCAGTTACACCACACTCTGAGATGGATGAAGTGAAGACTTCTCCTTGTCAATCTGGAATTGGAGTTGGCGAAACAGCGCCGTCACTTGCTCTGTTAGCAAGGTGCACTCCAGGAGATAAGCCGTGATAAGCAACCAATCGTCTACGTAAGACGTTACTCTGGCACCCAGTGATAATCTTATGTGCCTCATTACTTCCCACATGGTTTTCATGACCTGCCCACGGTCTGGTTGATAGTCCGAATGCAAGGACGCGATAATGGTAATAGCTACTGTTCCACTGGAACCCAAGGTATGGCCGACACTCTGTGTGCATCGACACGCGCAAGACACCGTTTTGCAGGTCCAGCTAGCTACACCAGTCTCCTGGTTATGATCTCCTGCAGTGCGTCCAGGTTTCTCGTACCTGAAGCGTGATGCAACTACACACCGGTTCAGGCGCTTTAGGTTCAAAATAATACTTAGTTGTCCATAAATATTTTCTTTGGCAGCGTTTCTTTTGGAGAGGTGCAATATTTTGGTGTTTGTGTCTTCTCAATTGCTCCCTGTAGGAGTAATTCTTGTATATGAGCTGTGATGAACTCTTTGCTCTCCTTCGTCATTGGCCTGTTACCTTCGTGGAACTCTGGCTGGGACTGTTTGAATGTTATTGGAAAACTATTGCTCAACCAGTCCAGGATAATTGCCCAAGCACCGATCCTTGCCCATCCCGTTGTGTCTACGATGATCATACCTACCCGTAACGCTGTGTACCGCGGTCTCTACCTCTTCCTCTGTGTTATCGATTGTAACTCCCACCGCTAGTGGCCTTTTGTCTCCTGTTGGGAGCGGAACCAGCTTGCGCACTTGCGTGGAGAATGTCGCCGGATATGGCGATGAGGCGCCTATCCTCGTCGGTGAATAGATAGGTCGCGCGCAGGTGCTGCACAAGTCATCTCTACTCTGCGGGCAAGCAGTCTGAAAGTGCGAGATCTGTCCGTACGTCCTGTAGTTCCGTAAGCCCAATCGTCTGGGTGCGCGAGCGTAAATCCTCTTCTCTGACGGTCGTGCTGACAAAGGTCGATGACGGTTTTGCTGTATTTGGCGAACTCGGAATGCTGTCGAGCTGGAGCTGCACTGCCTCGTTGCCGTCCTGCTGCTGAATTAGGAAACCCAAGTTGCTGTGGCAAAATGACGTCCTCGGGTCTCTCTTTGTATGTGTCCAGAGACAATGGGAAGGGACCGTTGGTCTGCGACTGTCTCAGTGAGCTGTTCACTAGATATGGCGAGGACAACACGGGGAAGGCCACGTTCGTCGTGACGGTTCAAGGATGAACTGCCGTTGTACCGAGTCGTCGTCGTGCAACCTCCATAGATTTTGCTTCGCGTTGGGTAAGATCGGAACGTGAACCGGAGAGGCCAACAATTGAATTGGCATGTTGCTTGCATGCTAGGATAGAGTCTTGTGGATAGTCATGTCTTGTCATAATGTCTACATTGTCTTTTCTCCCATCTCTTTCCCAATGCTGGTTGTGTTTTGATTGATTGATTTCTATTTCACGGATCCTCCAGAGGCAAATAGATGCCTATCGAAGGGAGTCTCCTAAGTAAGTATGGAAAATGAGAAAGTATGTTTGTAAGGGACAAGAGGTAGAAGATACATTTGTTGTGTTGGTGTTGCGCCTCGGAACTGCTCCAGGGTAACGGACTGCTTCACCCCAACGTCAACGATGATCCATACTATACGTGGACGCCACATCGCTCTCTGTCTCTCTCTCTCTCTCTCTCTCTCTCTCTCTCTCTCTCTCTCTCCCTCCCTCTCCCTCTCCCTCCCTCTCTGTCTCTCTCTCCGTCTCCCTCTTTCTCTCTGTCTCTCTGTTTCTCTCTGTCTCTGTCTCTCTCTCTCTTTCTCCCTCTCTCTCTGTCTCTCTCTGTCTCTCTCTCTCTCTCTCTCTGTCCCTCTGTTTCTCGCTCTGTCTCTCTGTCTGTCTTAGTGATGAGAAATGACTGCAGTACAGCATAGCGTTCTGGGAATGAATGAATGTAGTGTTGTTATCACTAGACATTATGGTTTGTATGCAAGTACGTATATAGCTAGAACAGTGGTGTTGATGCCAGCCTGCAACACTACGCGTGACAAGATGATCCAACGAGATGTCAGAGATTGCCAGAGCAGCAGTGTCAACTGTCATGTGCAAACAAGATGCCTAAGCTGCGAGCAAACGTACTAGTGGGTAGTAGTTTATTCATGTAATAAATATTACGTCATGTGTATATCAGATATGTAGAGTGTGAGAAATGTAGGTCAGGATGTATTGAACATTGCGGTACTCCATACATAATGGACAGAGGGTCAGACAAGCTAAGCCAGGGAGAAGTGGATAGATTGACATGGACATGACAGGTATGTCCAGGTCTCAATCATCATAAACACTATACATAGATTATCTCTCGTGTTTTCAATACTCGAGCATGTCACACTGTATCAAATACCTTCATCATGGAACACAATACACACGTAGAAATCTCATACAAATACTAAAGTAAACACAAGATAGAAAGAGGTTGTAGTGACAAGGTTGATAGACAGTTTTACCTACACCTCATCCCTTACCATCGTCAAACTGTACTCGTAAGAATGTTATAATATATCATTCTCTTTCAGCTGTGTGTGTGTGTGTGTGTGTGTGTGTGTGTGTGTGTGTGTGTGTGTGTGTGTGTGTGTGAGTGTGTGTGTTTGTGTGTCCCATATGGTGCAGTGGCATGTGCAGTCGATTTCCAATCGAGAGGTTGCGGGTTCAATTCCCGACGATTATGGTCGCACACGTATTTCTTCTCTTTCTCATTCTCCTAGCTCTTCTTTCATAATCCTAGGTTGTCACCAGCAGCCAGTGTATGCCGGAGTATGTGGTGTGGTGTGTGTCAAAAAGAAGGAGAAAAATGGATAAATGAAAATTTGGGATTCACTGGCCAGAAAAGTCACTTCAATCAGCTGTGTGGTGGATCCCAGGCTAAAATTAGTGGCCACTGTCGTTGTGTAATCCCAGCACAAGTTGCTATGTCTAATATAGCTGTTCGCTACCATCGCTTCCGCGATGGGCAGGTCTGAGGTCTGAGGTGTGTGTGTGTGTGTGTGTGTGTGTGCCATTGCCCGTCGACCACCCAAGGCACCCTTTTCTGCTGGCTACGGTTGCGCCTGCGGCCGCATGTTCCATGGAAGCGGCGACCTGAAACGCCATCAGTCATTCTGTCGTGGACTGGAAAAATAACAATGCAAATAACAATGCCCTATCATTGCTACACCATGGGCAAGGTCAAGGTCAAGGTGCGTGTGTGTGTGTGTGTGTGTGTGTGTGTGTGTTTGTGTGTGTGTGTACGTTGCCCAGCACATGGCCCCCGCAAGCGATGGAAGGATCGCGTTGTCTCCGACCCAAGAGTTCGTGGCCTCACCAAGGAATGGTTTCCTATTGCCTGTGAGTCCCGCGCTGACTGGCGGGCTATGTACGCTGAGCCTGTGGAGAATGTGCCTCAGCCCGACCCAGTGGTATGTGCGGATTGCAATCGGTCATTCTCGCGCCCTGGAGATCGTGCTCGCCACAAATGTGTGGTTGAGCGGACCAAGCCGATTGCTGAGCAGCGAGGGGCTTGCCTCTGTGGAAACTGTGGGCGTTGGTTTCGAAGCAAGGGTGGTCTAGCTGTTCATCGCTGTTCCGCACCTCCGCCTCAGCCTCCCGAGTCCCGGCAAGTCAATGTACAAGATGACTGCTGTGCTGCGCAGTGTGCTGTGTGTGTGCCCGCTGCTTTCGCACTGCGCAAGGCCGCGGTCGTCACCAGTGCTCGAGGACTGGCCCGCGCCCGACTGCCCAGCAGCGTAATTCATTCAGTCATGCATGCGTGTGTTCTCTCCGGTTCCGTTTTCCCCACCATCTCCGGCGTCATCAGGCTGCATGCTCCATCTTCCTCTCTGATGCCCCTCCGGTGCCCACGTGACCCCTGCTGTAACAGATTCACACACACTCACACTGTGCATCCTACTACACGTTCCCACTTACGTTGTGTTGCATCACACCTGTGTTGCATGTTCACCTTGGATTACACTTCTGTCCCATATAACCCCGTTGATGGTATAATAAAGTCGTTCTACTCTTGATCCTGAATCGCTCTGGTTGGACGGTTACACAGGTAGCAAAGGATGGTTGTCGAGATTTTTTGTTTGCTGGTATGCGTGGCCACCCTTCTGTTAGCTCGGAATGACCGCTACAAGGACGGAGCGCGCCGACGGGTACAAACTGCCGCAACGACGGATACACCTCAAGGACCTCAACGGCGCACGGACCAACGACTGCTCGACAGGAAATTTGATGGGACAGTCAATAGGCCTCCGGTGTTTTCGGGCAACCCTGCGGACTTCAGGGAATGGGTCTTCGCTATCGAGCTCGCCATGGTGTCACAGCGCGTCAACGACGACCAGGAGCAGGTGCGATTCGCTGCCAGCTACCTACAAGGCAACGCCAGGCTTTGGCTGATGTCGGTATTGGATTCCGGCGCCTGCATCCACGACTGGCCGACGCTAAAACAGTCATTCGGCGACGTGTATGGCCCAGTCCATGAACAGGAGGAAGCGCGCCTCAAGCTGTTTGGACTGGTACAGCACGGCAACCTGGACGCATACGTACAGGAATTCACTAACCTCTGCCTTCAGGTGAACGACCTGAATGACCATTCGAAGGCGGTGCTGTTCGTGAGGGGCCTGCATGCAGCAATCGGTCACTCGGCTCTTCGGGAACACCCGACAACACTAGGCCAGGCCATTCGTGCCGCACGCATGGCAGCCATGCAGGCATCAGGAGTATGGAGGGAACAGGCCAGCCACCACAGGCACAGGCATTCGTCAGTCGAGGCACCCGGGTCCTGCACCTCACGCTCAGGCCAGTACACCGAGGCAACCTGTCAGTCCATGGGGACGTCAGCAGCAGCAATCTAACCGTAAGAGTGAGCCCATATGTTACTCATGCAGGAAGCCTGGACATATTGCCAGAAACTGTCCAGTCATCGTGAATTCCCCAAACGCTTCCAGCCAGTGAAGAAGGGAGTGCGCTCACTGGCGGTGGATACTCAGGCACCCACACCACTCATTGTGTTCAATAGGTTCGAGGGCCTGAGTGTTGAGGAAGGAGACAGCGCAAGCGATCCTGCAGTGGAGAGTTCTGACGCTACGCCTAAGGCGCACATCAGCAGCGTGGCGATGGGCGCAGAGCACGATCTGCTATGTGTCACTGGGAAGGTGAATGGGAGGAAGGCTACCATGCTAATAGACCCTGGCTCTCCCCACGATTTTTTGTCGTCGGAGTTCGTCAGGAGACATAACCTGAAGACTGACACGGCGACCAAGGAGCTGAAGGTCACATTAGCAGATGGCTCGTCTCGTACACAGCCTTTGGAAACTGCCGGGCCTGTAAAAGTGATGGTAGCTGACTTCAGCAAAACCCAGACCTTCACCGTGCTGCCACTGGCGCTCTACGACGCCATCTTGGGAATGCCGTGGCTGTCTCCCCACAACCCAGCGATCGACTTCCGGAGTAAAAAGGTGCAGATCCAGGAGGACACCTTCGTGGCTCGAGGCCACGAAGCTGGCGAGGACGCCGAGTTCGCAGAATTCCACTTCATCTCGGCAGCACAAGCGAATGCCGCTATTCGTTCAGGGGACGAAGCGTATTATTATTATTATTATTATTATTATTAAATTTTTGATAGGGCAATCCCCACAGGCCTAAGGCCTTTTGACAGGGTACCCTAAAAAATGAAGAACAGAATTACGGAAGGTATGCAAGGAAGAACTTGAGCGGACCTCCGCTGGGAGGGCATTCCAGCGGTCAGAGCCAAGGAAAGTGACAGAAAATAAACCATAGCGACGTTTGGCTGTCGGAAGAGCAAGGGAAGAGGACACTTGAGAGCGGGTGCGAGAACTAGTGCAGGTAGAATTAGAGTGTATGTAGCCTGGGTCTCTATGGAGGATGATGCGCCGGGCCAAGATCCACCACCTATCCGTGACAAGGAAGGAACTCACTTCGGAAGTGAGCTGAACGCTCTGCTACGTGAAATCGACGACCTATTTCCGGACGAGCTCCCTGACCAACTACCGCCAGAGCGAACGGTCGACCATGAAATAAAGGTGGCGGAAGGGACAGCGCCACCATCACGACCGGCATACCGCCTTCCGAAGCCGGAGCTAGACGAGCTCCAGAAGCAGATTGAGGAGCTGCTCCGGAGAGGCTTCTTAGAGCCGAGTAAGTCGCCCTATGGGGCTCCTGTGTTCTTTGTGAAGAAATCAGATGGATCTCTTCGCATGGTGTGTGACTGGAGGGAACTTAATAGAATAACAATTAAGAATAAGGCCTGCCTCCCTAACATTGAGGACCTATTCGACACAGTGCAGGGCAGTGCATATTTCTCGAAGCTTGATCTTCGCACAGGATACAACCAAATCAGGATACAACAGGAGGATGTGCCGAAAACGGCAATTAACACCCCGTTTGGCCACTACCAGTTCAGGGTCATGGGGTTTGGTCTGACTAATGCCCCGGCAACTTTCCAATCACTGATGAACTCCATTCTGCAGCCGTACTTGCGCCAATTCGTGGTAGTGTTCCTGGATGATATTCTGATTTTTAGCAAAACCCTTGAAGAGCACGTTGAGCACATTCGAACCGTTCTGACTACCCTCCGCGCTAACCAACTATTCTGAAAGTTACCGAAATGCGAGTTTGCGGTGGAAGAAATTCTATTCTTGGTTCACCGTTTGACCGGTTCCTCGATTAGCCCTGATCCGGAGAAGTTGGCTGCAGTTCGTGATTGGCCCACCCCATGTACGGTGAAAGACGTGAGACAATTTCTCGGGTTTACCAATTACTTCCGTCGCTTTATTAGACACTATTCATATATTTCCAAGCCCTTGGAGGAGCTAACGGGTAAATACACCAGGTTCTTTCCGAGTTGAAACTGATGCTAGCGATTTTGCAATCGCGGGGGTGCTCTCGCAGGAGGAGGAACCTGGTTGTTGGTTGCCAGTGGCGTACGGCAGTCGAAAGCTTTCCTCGGCGGAGTGGAACTACACAGCGTCGGAACGAGAAACGTTAGCAGTTGTGTCCGCCCTCCGGATGTGGCACATTTATTCGTTTGAACACTTTGACGTTTTCACAGACAACCGAGCAGCAGTCTACTTACTGACAAAATCAAATCTCACGAAAAGGGAGTCACGTTGGGTTGAATTTCTTGCGGACTTTGATTACACTTTTCACCATAAACCTGGCAAGGAGAACGTGGCGGATCCGTTGTCACGCCGCCCGGACTTAAGGGACGAAGATCATGTGGTTCCGCCTGAAGCTCGACTAAACGCCATAGAATATACCTTAGAGGTCAATGACGATATAGCCAACATGATACTGGACAGATATGCCGTGGACCCTGAGCTGAGTGTAGTTATGGAACGAATGAAGCGCCCCGACAGTGACAATGTGCACAGTCATCATCGACAACGACTCCGGGTTCCTCTACTTGAAGGCGTCTCCTAGCAACCGTTTATGCATACCGAGGTGTACCCTACGGCTGAAATTGGTACAGGAGAACCATGACTGTGTTACGGCAGGTCACCCAGGGCGTGACCGCACGTATTCACGCTTGGCAAAAATTTTCTATTGGCCGAAAATGGGACTCGATGTCAAACGTTTCGTGAAGTCTTGCGATATTTCCCAGCGAACTAAACCGGGGAGGCTGCGCACGGGCCTGCTGCAGTCATTACCAATACCCAAAGGCCCGTGGGAGGATATCGCCATGGATTTTATTACGGGTCTTCCTAGGACAGCTGCTGGACATGATGCTATTTATACCTTTGTGGACCGCCTGACTAAATGCGTTCATTTGGCACCGACTACCACATCCATTGATGCCAAGGGCAGTGATGAATTGTACATAGCTAACGTTTTTCGGTTGCATGGTTTGAGTTCATCCATTGTCTCAGATAGAGATCCTCGGTTCACTGCTGCCTTTTTTAGGGAGGTGTTTCAACTTCTGGGAACCAAGCTTTGTTTCAGCACGGCAAACCATCCCCAAACAGATGGATTGACGGAGAGGGTGAATAGGCTGGTTGAAGACATCCTCCGTGCATTCATTAACCATAAGCATGACAATTGGGATAAGCTATTGCCTCTTTGCGAGTTCTCCATCAATAGTGCCCACCATTCCTCTACATCGCATACCCCATTTTATTTGAATTTTGGGTTTCACCCCCGAGCCCCAGCGGATTTGCTGGGTGATCGTATGGGAGTCGGACACTCTGATTGGGTGAAGGAGCAACAGGATGCGTTACGCGTTGCTAAGGATGCTATTGTAGCGGCTCAGGCGCGGCAGGCCTTGTATGCGGACAACACTCGTGCCCCCAGTGCTATAAAGGTTGGTGACCGTGTTCTGGTCTATAGGGATTTCCTCATTACTCCCGAGGCGCGGAATCAGCCGTCCCCTAAGCTGCGTTCCAAATGGTATGGTCCATTCCCTGTAACTGAGAAGGTTGGTGCCAATGCCTTCCGGTTGCTACTTCCTGCCAATATGCGTTGTCATCCGGTGTTTAATGTGTTAGCTCTGAGGCGGTATGAGGAGAACTCTTTACCAGGACGGCAACAGCCGCCTCCGCCGCCAATAACGGATCTGGACGGCAACACGCGTTATATTGTAGACGCGGTCGTCGATGAACGGAAACGGAGGGGCCGCATGGAGTATCTAGTTCAATGGCGTGGCCACAGTGAGAACAGCTGGGAGCCTATCGAACATTTATTGGACGAGTCTAACAAGGAAATTATTCCGCTGCAGAGTTACTTGAAAACGAAGCGTCGTCAATAGCCGCCTTTCCTGCGTTGAGTATTACTTCCTACCATATCTTGAAATGCCTCTTGTGTTAGCAATTATTTTCGAACCAATAAAATTGATTTACTGGTATTATAATGCTTACCTACTCGTGTTTAGCCCGGCTCACCTTTGCTGACGAGGGGGGTGGTGTAACAGATTCACACACTCACACTGTGCATCCTACTACACGTTCCCACTTACGTTGTGTTACATCACACCTGTGTTGCATGTTCACCTTGGATTACACTTCTGTCCCATATAACCCCGTTGATGGTATAATAAAGTCGTTCTACTCTTGATCCTGAATCGCTCTGGTTGGACGGCTACACCTGCCGCAGTAGCTCTACACTACAGGACAGGACCGGTGTGTATGTGTGTGCGTGTGTGTATGTGTGTGTGTGCGTGTGTGTGTGCGTGTGTGTGTGTGTGCGTGTGTGTGTGTATGTGTGTGTGTATGTGTGTGTCTATGTGTGTGTGTATAATGTGTGTGTATGTGTGTGTGTCTTCATGAGGGTATGATTGCGAAGGTGCGAGTCAACGGTAAGCTTTCCGACAACATCTCTGTGACTAATGGGCTGCGTCAAGGATGTACCCTAGCACCCACCCTCTTCAACCTGTATTTCAGTGTGGTGGTTGCGGACTGGCGCGCACGTTGTCCAGACGCTGGAGTTGACCTGCTGTTCAGAAACGGTCGCAAGCTGGTTGGGGACCGCACAGCGAAGTCCCGGTTATCCGCGACGAGGGTGACTGATTCCCAGTTCGCCGATGATGCAGCGTTGTATGCAACCACCAGAGAGAGATTTGAGTGCATGACGTCCGAGTTCATTTTGTGTGCACAGCGATGGGGACTGACCGTCAGCATTAGGAAGACGAAGGGCATGGCGGTGGGTCAACCAACATCAGTTGATCCCGTTCAACTCGGTGGTGATAGCAGGATTGACATGGTGGACGGGTTCCGGTACCTTGGCAGCGTGCTCTCTGCTGACGGAACGGTGGATGCGGACCTCGCTGCTCGTTTGGCGCAGGCGTCCCGGCTGTTCTGCGTGCTCAGGTCTCCGATATTTCAGTGCGTACATCTCTCGGTCCACACCAAGCGGCTGGTGTATCGTGCTATCGTCCTTCCTGCTCTTCTCTACGGTGCGGAGACATGGCCCATCAAAGCGGGTCATATTCGCCGACTCAATACCTTTCACCATCAGTGTATTCGCACAATTCTCGGTATCTCTCGTCGTGAGCAATGGGAGGAGAGATTGTCGTCAGCATCGCTGAGTGAGCTGGCAGGGGTGGACGTCGACATGGCCGATGTGATCAGGAAGCACCGCTTGCGGTGGCTTGGTCATGTTGCACGGATGAAGGAGACCCGGCTGCCCAAGCAGATGCTGTTCGGCGAACTGCCCTGCAAACGCCCGCAACATGGTCCCAAGAAGCGCTGGCGGGATGTTGTGTCCTCGGACTTTGCTGTCATCGGTTTACCTGAAGCGGACTGGTATGACACAGCGCAGGAGAGATCCACCTGGTTTCAGTGTTGTCGACAGAGGGTCCAGAAGGAAGCCCCAGACTACCGCTGTGACAGAGTGTTCCGTCGTCCTGGTGACCTCAAGCGGCATGCGCCATACTGCAGATTTCGAGTTTAGAGCCTCAGCGTGAGGAAGCCATCGCTATCATTGCTACGGCAATGGGCGTTCAAGGTTCAAGGTGTGTGTGTATGTGTGTGGGTGTGTGTGTGTGTGTCTTTCTTCTCTGCTCTGGTGGAGGACGGTTGTAATTTTCCGGGCTCTTGTTTCTGGCCTCCGTCCGTGCTTGTTCTCGCCGTTGTGGACGGCCTGGGGTGTCCCCAGCCGTCCA